CCAGTCTGGGTGACAGAGTGAGACTCCAACTCAAAAAAAAAAAAAAGAAAAAAAGAAAAAAACAAGATGGTGGTGGCTGCGGGGCCTTTCAGGGACCTGCAATACCATGTGACCCTGGAGGAAATGTGCCATGGGACGACCTCCCTCCTTACCTTCACCACATCCAGCTCCTCCTTGCTGGCAGCTTGCTGCTTCTCCAGCCTGGTGCTCAGCTGGGAACAGATCTGAGGGAAAGAGACAAAACAGAACAGCCCTTGTGGCGTGTGCACACAACAATCCATGTCACTCCAGTGTGTCCGGCCCTGACAGGACTTCTGCCCACAAGGGGCACTGCCAGTGCCAGTCATCTTTGCAGTGAGCAGCGGAAGGCTGCACTTTGTGTGAAGCACAATGACGCTACCTCAATCTGCAGAGATACATGGGAGAGAGACATGGCTTCTTTCTGTCATCAGCTTTCTGTGACTATTCCAGGGAATTCCTGGCCTCGCTGTGGGATTGATCTGCAGCATCTTTGCTGACTGTTCACTTTGTACAAGGCACTGTGCCAGGAGTGAATGAGAAGCATTCTGAACCAGAAACATCTCCTATCTAAAGCCACAGGAAGTATCTCTTGGCCAGGCGCAGTGGCTCATGCCTATAATCCCAGCACTTTGGGAGACCGAAGTGAGAAGATTGCCTGAGCCCTCAGGTTCCAGACCAGCCTGGGCAACTTGGTGAGACCTCATCTCTACAATAAATCAAAAAATCAGCCGGGCATGGTGGCACGTGCCTGTAGTTCCAGCTACTTAGAAGGCTGAGGTGGAAGGATCGCGGGAGCCCAGCAGGTAGAGGCTGCGGTGGCTGGGAGTGTGCCACTGCACTCCAGCCTGGGTGATAGAGTGAGACTCCAACTCAAAAAAAATACATCTTTTTTTTAGTCACAGAGGTTTCCTTCAGAAATGGCAGAGTGAATATGGCAAAGTTAAAACGACCAGGAAACAACACAACCCAAAAGTTTTATAAAGCAGTTTGGCAACACAGCAGAGAAATGAAAAGCCTTGGTGCTGGAGTCCAAGGCAAGTTGAAGGCAGGTCGGCTCTACTGCTTTACGGCTTTGGGACCTTGAGCAAATTCATGAATCTTTCTAAGACTCCGTGTCCTCATGATTAAAATGTGTTATGCTGTGGCATCAAGTGAAAACAATGTATGTAAAAGGTTTGTTATAGCACCTGGCTAGTAGTAAGTACTCATTAAAGAAAATCTATTATTATGATAATTCTGAAATAAGGTGCTAACAAGTACTAGGAACAGGTAGAAATAAGTGTTTTCAATGGAAAATCTGTTTAAGTTAGTGTTGGATGTTCAAATCCACTGACTAGGAATCTTTTATTTTTAGAAAAATGGATTAAAAAATAGGATATGTCAAATTTTAAAGTTCCATTTGGGTTAAAAAATATATATGGTCTACCTATATTATCAAAACAAATATTTAAAAATTCCAGTTTAAGCCGGGCTTGGTGGCTCAGCCTGTAATCCCGTGCCTTTGGGAGGCTGAGGTGAGTGGATTGCCTGAGCCCGCGGGTTCGAGACCCGCCTGGGCAACTTGGCAAGACCTCATCTCTACAATAAATCAAAAATGAGCCGGGTGTGGTAGCACGCGCCTGTAGTTCCAGTTATTTGGAAGGCTGAGGCAGAAGGATCGCTGGAGCCCAGCAGGTCGAGGCTGCAGTGACTGGGAGCGCCCACTGCATTCCAGTCTGGGTGACAGAGTGAGACTCCAACTCAAAAAAATAAATAAATAAATAGATAAATAGAAAAATAAATAAATAAAAATTCCAGTCTACTCAAAAATAGCTCTGGAGGCTTGGGCTTGCTTGTTGAATTTCGTTTCCAATTTATCCAAATCCAAATCTGGAGAACAATCATTAGGACATGTGAATTGATGTTACAAAGAAGAGATCAGTCACCCTGATAGTTTCTGCAAACCATAAAGCTATCTATCTATCTTTCGCTATCGCTATCTCTCTCTCTCTCTCTCTCTCTCTCTCTCTCTCTCTCTCTCAGTTGGGGTCTTACTCTGTTGCTCAGGCTGGAGTGCAGTGGTGCGATCACCTCTCTCTGCAGCCTCAACTGTCGAGACTCAGGTGATCCTTTCATCTCAGCATCCCAAGTAGCTGGGACTACAGGTGTACACCACCACACTTGGCTAATTTTTTGATCTTTTGTAGAAATAAGATCTTGCTATGTTTCCCAGGCTGGTCTTGAACTCCTGGGCTTGAGCAATCCTCCCACCTTGGACTCCCAAAGTGTGCAATTACAAGTGTGAGCCACCCCACATGACCCATAAACCCTTTAAAATAAACCAAAACATTCTAACATATAGCCAGTGAGAGGCATCTTCACTGTGTGTGGCTGACAGGGAAACAGGAAGATGCCATTGGGGCCAGAGCGAGGGCATTTCAAAACCACCCTAGTGACGGGGCCAGAAAACACCCCAATGGAAAGGTAGCCCTTTGCTGAAAGAGCACTTTAAGGTTCAAAGGAAATGTCTCCTACTAGCACTGGCCTGTGGTGGGCAAGGCCATGCAACCATGTGGGGACAAGGGTGCCCATGCTGTACTGTACTGTGACAGCCACAGACACACGATTGCCCATGCCATTGCTACTTCACACAGTCACTAAACTCTGCAAAGAGGCGCATGTTTCTAGTACGGTCTATCGGGAATTAACTTCCAAGTGAAGCAAGGTGGGATCTCAATGGTAACCACAGGTTTCCCATTCCCCTAAACCCACCAAACACTGTCCACAATCAGCAGATGGCTTTGGTCAGTTAGACCTCCTGCATTGTAAGCAAGTATGTCCAACCACTGTCTGCTTCAAAGAAGAGAGACAGCCACCAACTTTAGAAAACCTGGAAAGCTGTTCTGGAAACTCTAAAAACAAAAATTTTTTTCCCCAAAGAAAAACAACAAGAATAATGACTTTTGTAGCAACACACCATAACTAGCAGGTGTGCCACGGTGGTATATTACCTGCTTATACTCAGCAATGATGGCCGTGGTCTTCTTTATTTCATACTCTGCCTTCTCTAGCTGCTTCCTGAAGACTTCTTTTAGCTAAAGAGAGTGAGAATGAGAAACATCAGGACTTAGCCGAAATCTTAATAAATTGTCACAAACATCTATATTCAAGTCTGCCTGATTCATAGTCAATGCCAATGCTAACAACTATAACTACATGCATTTTCTACACTGAATCTGCATCTTAATAATGTGAAAAACCCAATCCTTTCCAGGGATGAGAAATCTTTCTTTCCTGTGAAGTCTAAGACATGAGCAGCCTATTATAAAACTGCTGATGCTTGCTACTTCTAAACATATTGCTAAATAAATGTCCAGGCAGAAGCTATCTTTATCCTTATGAGAGTCTAAAGCAGAACATCAAGGCACTCCTGCATGCCATATTTGTTTCTCTTGATGTTATATTATAAATTACCGAGAATAACATTTTAGGCCTTCCTATTCATAGTCCCCCGTCGTGCTGCTGTTACCCTCTAAGGCAGAACAAGAGGCTCTGGGGACTGGAGTCAGAAGAGACAGAGGAGGATAGGAGCTCTGAGAAGGCCAGGGGACTCAGGGACTGGAGAGACTGACTGTAGAAGGCTAAAGTGACATGTCATGCAGGGACTTATTAAGGCACTGAGATGCTAAATTATGAGTGTCATGCTGGAAACCTCTATTGGTTTTGCAGCCCAGCAGCTCTGGAATTCTAGGTGAGGGGGAAAGTTAGGGTAGGAAGGAAAGAATTGACTTCTCCAGGTTGTTGAACAAACACATATCACCTCTGCTTAATCTGTAAGCACATAAACAGAATAAAAGATGTATTCTGCACTCCAACACCCCAAGTTATTAATGGAGGATATGCTGTGCTTGATAATTCATACATTACTGCGATTTATAAATGGACTCCTTGCCATCAGAAGACTTCTGGGTTTTTGTATCTGGGAGATTCTAAAATTCTAAAAGCAATTTTTAGTTTACACTGATTCAAACGTAGCTGTTTATATTAATTTCTATTCTCTATGTGACATATTCTAAGGACATAAACAATAACCTTCCCCTCCTCTTTTTTCTTTTTAAGTCTGGGTCTCACTCTGTTGCCCAGGCTGGAGTGCAGTGGCAGGCTCACAGCCTTGATTTGCTGGGCTCGGTGATCCTTCTGCCTCAGCCTTCCAAGTAGGTGGAACCACAGGTGTGCACCACCACACATAGCTAATTTTTTTTTTGAGTTGGAGTCTCATTCTGTCACCCAGGCTGGAGGGCAGTGGCATACTCCCAGCCACTGCAGCCTTGACCTGCTGAGCTCAGGCTATCTTTCCACCTCAGTCTTCCAAGTAGCTGAAACTACAGGCATGTACCACCATGCCCAGCTAATTATTTATTAATTTATTTATTATAGAGCTGAGGTCTCGCCAAGTTGCCCAGGTTGGTCTTGAACCCGCAGGCTCAGACAATCCTCTCACCTCGGCCTCCCAAAGTGCTGGGATTATAGGCATGAGCCACCGCACCTGGCCACCTTCCCCAGTCTTACGATAAGGCCCCACTGACTTTAGGACTGACTTAGCTGGCTGAGAGGCTTTGGGCAAGTGTCACTGAACATCCCCAAGCCATTGTTTCCTCAACACATGTACACACACAAACACACACACACACACACACACACACACACACACACACAAAGGAAGGGAGGGAGGAAAACCACAAAGCATCTTGCACTGTTCTTGCCTACATACTAGATGAGTACTCAAATGCCATTGCCCTTCCCATTTTATTTTAGTTATTTTATTTTTTAGAGAACAGGGTCTCACTTTGCCATCCAGGCTTACTGTAGCCTTGACTTCCTGAGCTCAAGCAATTCTCTTGCCTCAGCCCCCCAAGTAGCTGTGACTACAGATCCACACCACCATGCCTGGCTCGGTGGCTCAGCTTGTAATCCCACGCCTTTGGGAGGCTGAGGTGAATGGATTGCCTGAGCCTACGGGTTCGAGACCTGCCTGGGCAGCGAGACCTCATCTCTACAA